GAAGGGGGATGCTCGGTCCTCTTGGTGCTGGGGGTGTTTCTGTGCCTTGGTATAGAAAGGGATGAAGGGGGATGCTTGGTCCTCTTGTTGCTGGGGGTGTTTCTGTGCCTTGGTATAGAAAGGGGTGAAGGGGGATGCTCGGTCCTCTTGTTGCTGGGGGTGTTTCTGTGCCTTGGTATAGAAAGGGATGAAGGGGGATGCTTGGTCCTCTTGTTGCGGGGGGTGTTTCTGTGCCTTGGTATAGAGGGAGAAGGGGTGAAGGGGGATGCTTGGTCCTCTTGTTGCTGGGGGTGTTTCTGTGCCTTGGTATGGAAAGGGGTGAAGGGGGATGCTCGGTCCTCTTGTTGCTGGGGGTGTTTCTGTGCCTTGGTATAGAAAGGGATGAAGGGGGATGCTCGGTCCTCTTGTTGCTGGGGGTGTTTCTGTGCCTTGGTATAGGAAGGGATGAAGGGGGATGCTTGGTCCTCTTGTTGCTGGGGGTGTTTCTGTGCCTTGGTATAGAAAGGGATGAAGGGGGATGCTCGGTCCTCTTGTTGCTGGGGGTGTTTCTGTGCCTTGGTATGGAAAGGGGTGAAGGGGGATGCTTGGTCCTCTTGTTGCTGGGGGTGTTTCTGTGCCTTGGTATAGAAAGGGGTGAAGGGGGATGCTGGGTCCTCTTGTTGCTGGGGGTGTTTCTGTGCTTGGTATAGAAAGGGGTGAAGGGGGATGCTCGGTCCTCTTGTTGCTGGGGGTGTTTCTGTGCCTTGGTATAGAAAGGGACGAAGGGGGATGCTCGGTCCTCTTGTTGCTGGGGGTGTTTCTGTGCCTTGGTATGGAAAGGGATGAAGGGGGATGCTCGGTCCTCTTGTTGCTGGGGGTGTTTCTGTGCTTGGTATAGAAAGGGGTGAAGGGGGATGCTCGGTCCTCTTGTTGCTGGGGGTGTTTCTGTGCCTTGGTATAGAAAGGGATGAAGGGGGATGCTTGGTCCTCTTGTTGCTGGGGGTGTTTCTGTGCCTTGGTATAGAAAGGGATGAAGGGGGATGCTTGGTCCTCTTGTTGCTGGGGGTGTTTCTGTGCCTTGGTATAGAAAGGGATGAAGGGGGATGCTTGGTCCTCTTGTTGCTGGGGGTGTTTCTGTGCCTTGGTATAGGAAGGGATGAAGGGGGACGCTTCCTTTGAAGTGGTTCTGTGCCCGTCTGCAGCCAAGGGAACCCCGTGCATCCTCCCAAAGCACAGTCCCTTCCTCTCCCTCGCTGCAGGCTCTTTGGAGGCTTGATCCTGGATGTGAAGCGCAAAGCCCCGTGGTTCTGGAGCGACTTTCGGGACGGTGTGAGCCTGCAGTGCCTGGCATCCTTCCTCTTCCTCTACTGTGCCTGCATGTCCCCCGTCATCACCTTCGGGGGACTGCTGGGGGAGGCCACCAAAGGCCACATAGTGAGCATCCCTCTCCTCGGTGGCCCTGGGACAAGTCCTTGCTGCAGGGGATTTGCTTCGTGCTGGGCTTTGCCTGTGTCTGATGCGTTGGCTCCTCACCCCCCTGCACAGAGCGCCATGGAGTCGCTGCTGGGCGCATCCATGACCGGTGTGGTGTATTCCCTCTTTGCTGGCCAACCTCTCACCATCCTCGGCAGCACCGGCCCCGTCCTTGTGTTCGAGAAGATCCTCTACAAGTTCTGCAGGTTTGGGTTGGCTTCTGTGACGCGGGCATTGCCCTAGTGCATGGTAGTGCAGGAGCCCTCAGTGCATGAAGGATGAATGGGGCCGTTTGGGGTTCTTAGGGTTGAAGTGAAGCAGAAGGAGAGACCCTAAGGATGGGGGTGCCCAAGGTGCTGGGATGCGCTGGGTTTGGATGAGTCTGATGAAAACACAGGAGCCCATCATGGGAAATGGGTGTTCTCTGTGCCAGTCCTTGGGTTGTGATGCCTGAGCACCCTTCTGGCCATTCAGCTTCCTTCCTAAGCCCCAGCTTGCTGGCAGGAGGTGACTGGGTGCCAAAGCAGCCCCTTCCTGTGTTAGGGTGACGTGGGAGAGGTGTTACCACCTCCATTAGCCTTCTTGTTAACACAAGAACTGTTAATGGCCATTAAAGACCTGGCCAAGGTGCTTTCCCCAAGGGAAGAGCCCAGCTCAGAGCCTTGTGCTGGCCTCTCCATCCTTGGCTTGCCTTGGCCCTTTCCACCCTTGGTCCTCCTTTGCTCCCCAGGGAGCACGCGCTCTCCTACCTGTCCCTGCGGGCCTGCATCGGGCTCTGGACCGCCTTCTTGTGCGTCGTGCTGGTGGCCACGGACGCCAGCTCCCTGGTGTGCTACATCACCCGCTTCACCGAGGAGGCCTTCGCCTCCCTCATCTGCATCATCTTCATCTATGAGGCGCTCGAGAAGCTCAGCCACCTGCGCGAGACCTACCCCGTGCACATGCACAGCAAGCTCGACCTCCTCACCATCTACTAGTGGGTTCCTTCCCTCCCGCTCGGGGCTGCGCCTCCATCGCCTTTCCCTTACCAATGGGTTGGATTCTGTCCCCCCCAGCTGTAAGTGCGAGCCCCCAGCCCATCCCAGCAATGAAACCCGACGCTTCTGGGACACCAACGGGATCAACGTGTCCAGCATCACCTGGGAGAACCTCACGGTGACTGTAAGTGCCCTGTGCCGCAGCGAGGTCCAGGAGCATCCCTGTGGTACCCAACTCAGAGCCCTTTGGGTGATGGTGGGCTTCAGCCTGTGCTGGTGCTGCTCTGCTTCGATGGGATGTGTGGATGTCACCCGCTTGGTCCAGGGAAGGGGGGTCCCCCTTGTCCAGCCCAGCCCTCCTCAGCCTGCTTGCAGGATGATGCTTCTGACCAGGAGCAAGGTCTAGGGGGTGGTTTGGGGGCTGCAGCAGTCACAGGGCTTGAGTTCATGCTCAAAGGTGGGACCTGGCTTCCTCAATTGGGTCCTAGGAGCTCCAGACCTTGCCTTCCCATTCCCTGCAGGCACATGCAGGAACTGGAGCATCTGAGCCACCTCAGATGGCTGTTATGGACATCTCCATCCCCCTGTGGCCAGCCCCGCATTGGGAAGGGATGGGTTGTCCCTGTTGTCACCATGGTTGTTTTGGCCTCAATGCCTCGTTCCCTCCTTATCCCCAAGAGTTCCCAGGTTCCCTTCCCCTCTGTTGTCTCCCCAGCCACAGCTTCCTTCCATTCACACAGAGGACGTGCCATAGGTCTTGTGTTACGGTGTCCCACCAGAGCCCACCCCTGCTCTCCTCTGCCCAATGTCCCACTCGTTCGGCTGCTGCCCCTTAAACCCCATCCTCCAGCAGCCACAGCCACAAGGTCCCGGATCTCAGCCCGAGATCCCCAGAGCTCCCTGGTTCTCCCTGATCCACGAGCCCTGCCCTTGTGTCCCCGTGCTCTGTCCCCCAGGAATGTCGCCGTGCGCACGGGGAGTTCCGAGGACCCGCATGCGGGCGCAACGGCCCCTACGCTCCTAACGTCCTCTTCTGGTGCTGCATCCTCTTCTTCTCCACCTTCCTCCTGTCCGGCTTGCTGAAGAAGTTTAAAACCAGCCGTTACTTCCCAACCAGAGTAGGTGGAAAATGGGGTCCAGCAGCAGCCCCCACTTTGACCGAGGTGTCCATCAGCGTGGATGCTCCTCGCTCCTCCCCATGAGCAGCATCTCCCACCTCCCTGCCTGCCTCGTGACCTGCCCTGGGCTGGTTCTCTGTGTCTTTGTGCTGCTGGTTGGGGTTTTCCCTTGGGAACTCAGGCTTTCCCTGGTTTCCACCCTCTCTGCTCAATGTTGGTTCCAATGTGGAGCTGCCATAGGAAAAGACGCTGTTTCTTCCTTTTGAGGTCCAAATGATGCCTCAGTGCCTTACCCCCTATTAGCTGTGAGCGTGGCATAGGGGCAGACATCAGCCTCGTTAGCTTGCAATAGAGCTTTTAAGGCTTGCATTGACTCAACCCTTTCCCACCTCATTCAAGCTCTGTTATCACCTTGCACCAGGTCTCAAAGGGACAACCCCAGCACCAGAACCTCACCAAGGGATTTGCCTGCCCGGTGCAGAGTGGGGGGGCTTTGTTAACCAGGCTTGACACCAATGATGCCCCCAGACCCACTCCTTCCACCTCCTGTTAGGGCCCTGCTTGCCAGCCCCCCTTAGCTCTGGTTTCTCGCCCCAGGTCCGCTCCACAGTGAGTGACTTCGCCGTCTTCCTCGCCATCGTCACCATGGTGCTCATTGACTTCATGGTTGGGATCCCATCGCCGAAGCTCCACGTCCCCCATATGTTCAAGGTACTGGAGGGGTCTGAGCAGGTTCCAGCCCCTGGGGGTGCCACCACAAGGTGATGCTGGGGCAGGAGATGATGCTGGTGCGTGACCAGGTCCTTTCCCAGCTCCAAGGGCGCTGTTGCCTCCTGGAAACAAGAGGCCCTAAATGAGACACCTCCAACAGAAGGGTCTATGGGTGCTGGCAGTGGCTGTGCTGAGCCCTATGGAGGGGCTGAACCCAGGGTGGGGAGCGCATTGGCACGGGTTGGAGGCAGTGAAGGTGCTGGGCTGGGGCAGGGTGCTGAGGCCGGTGCTCCGTTGCAGCCCACCAGGGATGACCGCGGGTGGCTCATCAGCCCCATAGGACCCAACCCGTGGTGGACGGTGCTGGCCGCGCTCATCCCAGCTCTGCTCTGCACCATCCTCATCTTCATGGACCAGCAGATCACTGCCGTGATCGTCAACAGGAAGGAGCACAGGCTGAAGGTCAGGGGCTGCTCGAGGTGACCCCGTCCCCAACCCTCCTGTCCCAAGGGCTTTGTGAAGGGGTTGCTCTGGGGGAACGGCTGCCTATGGGGCAGGAGGCTCTCCTGCATTGATGGTGACACAGGAGGATGAGGGATCTTTGGGATCAGAGCCATTGCAAGCAGGGCAATGCTCTCCTGCATTGATGGTGACACAGGAGGATGAGGGATCTTTGGGATCAGAGCCATTGCAAGCAGGGCAATGCTCTCCTGCATTGATGGTGACACAGGAGGGTGAGGGATCTTTGGGATCAGAGCCATTGCAAGCAGGGCAGGATGCTCTCCTGCATTGATGGTGACACAGGAGGATGAGGGATCTTTGGGATCAGAGCCATTGCAAGCAGGGCTTGAGCTCCTGTCTGATGCATGCACAGAGACTGGAGACATCCCTGTTCCCAGCTCTAGTTTTAGTGTTAAGAAGTCAACTTGAGCTCAAGTAGGGTTTGGGCCCCGCTCGTGGCGTGTCCTTGCTCTGGGATGCTCTGTGTTGCTTTGCTCCCTGCAGAAAGGATGCGGGTACCACTTGGACCTCTTCATGGTGGCCGTGATGCTGGGGGTGTGCTCCGTGATGGGGCTGCCCTGGTTCGTGGCTGCCACCGTCCTGTCCATCACGCACGTGAACAGCCTCAAGGTGGAGTCCGACTGCTCAGCACCAGGGGAGCAGCCCAAGTTCCTGGGCATCCGCGAGCAGAGGGTCACGGGCTTGATGATCTTTGTGCTCATGGGCTGCTCCGTCTTCTTCACGGCTGCCTTGAAGGTAAGAGGGCGACCAGAGCAGCCCCGACCGTGGGCCTCTGGGGGTTATTCAAGCATAGCCCCCGAGGAGCAGTCATGGGATGCAGGAGGATGATGCTGTGACCCCAAACCTTGGTGCCTGCCCATTTCGGGCACCTTCAGGCCCCACTGTGCTGTGCTCAAGGACACTGAATGAACCTAGAAGCTCACCCTTGTTTAGGGCTGTACCCAGAGCAGTAAATCTGCTCCTTTTAGAGAGGACAGCACTCACCTGGCTGCAGTTTGCTCCCCGAATGCCTCAGCACAGCCGTTCCCAGGAGCCGAACACACCGACATCAGCCCCATGGGCTTCCCTGCACATCAGGGGATCATAGAAGAGGTCAGGTGGGAAAGGGCCTTATGATCTCTGGTTCCAACTAGATCTTAGGCTCAAGGAGACCCTCATCTTTAGGCTCAAGGGATACCCATCATCTTCAGGCTCAAAGGAGACCCATCATCTTTGGGCTCAAGGGATACCCAGCATCTTTAGGCTCAAAGGAGGCCCTCATCTTTAGGCTCAAAGGAGACCCTCATCTTTAGGCTCAAGGGATACCCATCATCTTTGGGCTTAATGGATACCCATCATCTTTAGGCTCAAAGGAGACCCTCATCTTTAGGCTCAAAGGAGACCCTCATCTTTAAGCTCAAAGGAGACCCTCATCTTCAGGCTCAAAGGAGACCCTCATCTTTAGGCTCAAAGGAGACCCTCATCTTCAGGCTCAAAGGAGACCCTCATCTTTAGGCTCAAAGGAGACCCTCACCTTTAGGCTCAAAGGAGACCCTCATCTTTACACTCAAAGGAGACCCTCATCTTTAGACTCAAAGGAGACCCTCATCTTCAGGCTCAAAGGAGACCCTCACCTTTAGGCTCAAAGGAGACCCTCACCTTTAGGCTCAAAGGAGACCCTCATCTTTACACTCAAAGGAGACCCTCATCTTTAGGCTCAAAGGAGACCCTCACCTTTAGGCTCAAAGGAGACCCTCATCTTTACACTCAAAGGAGACCCTCACCTTTAGGCTCAAAGGAGACCCTCATCTTTACACTCAAAGGAGACCCTCATCTTTAGGCTCAAAGGATATCCATCATCTTCAGGCTCAAAGGAGACCCTCATCTTTAGGCTCAAAGGAGACCCTCATCTTCAGGCTCAAAGGAGACCCTCATCTTCAGGCTCAAAGGAGACCCTCATCTTCAGGCTCAAAGGAGACCCTCATCTTCAGGCTCAAAGGAGACCCTCATCTTTAGACTCAAAGGATATCCATCATCTTCAGGCTCAAAGGAGACCCTCATCTTCAGGCTCAAAGGAGACCCTCATCTTTAGGCTCAAAGGAGACCCTCATCTTCAGGCTCAAAGGAGACCCTCATCTTCAGGCTCAAAGGAGATCCTCATCTTCAGGCTCAAAGGAGACCCTCATCTTCAGGCTCAAAGGAGATCCTCATCTTCAGGCTCAAAGGAGACCCTCATCTTTAGGCTCAAAGGAGACCCTCATCTTTAGGCTCAAAGGAGACCCTCATCTTTAGGCTCAAAGGAGACCCTCATCTTCAGGCTCAAAGGAGACCCTCATCTTCAGGCTCAAAGGAGACCCTCATCTTCAGGCTCAAAGGAGACCCTCATCTTTAGGCTCAAAGGAGACCCTCATCTTTAGGCTCAAAGGAGACCCTCATCTTCAGGCTCAAAGGAGACCCTCATCTTTAGGCTCAAAGGAGACCCTCATCTTTAGGCTCAAAGGAGACCCTCATCTTTAGGCTCAAAGGAGACCCATCATCTTTAGGCTCAAAAACCACCACCAAAGGAGACCCTCATCTTTAGGCTCAAAGGAGACCCTCATCTTTAGGCTCAAAGGAGACCCTCATCTTCAGGCTCAAAGGAGACCCTCATCTTTAGGCTCAAAGGAGACCCTCATCTTTACGCTCAAAGGAGACCCTCATCTTTAGGCTCAAAGGAGACCCTCATCTTTAGGCTCAAAGGAGACCCTCATCTTTACGCTCAAAGGAGACCCTCATCTTTAGGCTCAAAGGAGACCCTCATCTTTAGGCTCAAAGGAGACCCTCATCTTTACGCTCAAAGGAGACCCTCATCTTTAGGCTCAAAGGAGACCCTCATCTTCAGGCTCAAAGGAGACCCTCATCTTTAGGCTCAAAGGAGACCCATCATCTTTAGGCTCAAAGGAGACCCTCATCTTTAGGCTCAAAGGAGACCCTCATCTTTACGCTCAAAGGAGACCCTCATCTTTAGGCTCAAAGGAGACCCTCATCTTTAGGCTCAAAGGAGACCCTCATCTTTAGGCTCAAAGGAGACCCTCATCTTTAGGCTCAAAGGAGACACCTTATGTTTAGGCTCAAAGGAGACACCTCGTGTTTAGGCTCAAAGGAGACCCATTGCTTTTTGCCACAAGAACACAAGGAAATGTTTCTCTTTAGATGAAATCCCCCTTTTTCCTCCAGCCCTGCTGCAAACCAGGATTACTTGGATGCAACCAGACCCCTAAAGCAGAGCATCAGCTCCTCGCACCCTCCAAATCACTGCTGCTTAAAACCCCTCTTGAAGCCAATGGAACCTGGGGGGCTGGAAGCGGTTTTAGGCAGCACCTATAGGACAGGGAGCCCCCTGACCATGCCCTTTAACCCAATCCATCACTGCTTTGTCCTCTGCAGTTCATCCCAATGCCTGTGCTTTACGGTGTCTTCCTCTACATGGGGGTGTCGTCGCTCAGAGGAATTCAGGTACGGAACTGCAGCGCTTCTGCCCTTGGGAGCTCGGCTCCATGGAGGTGGCACAGGGAAAACCCTGGCCAGGCAGGACACGAGGGTGTTTTGTACTGGGGGAGATGGGGGATACCCATGGGGCTGGGAGGAGCAGGCGGGGTGGGGCTGATCCAGGGATTGGGGCAGCGTTTTGGGGATGTGGAAATGGGGGAGTCACAGAATGAGGGAATCAACCAGGGTGGAAAAGAGCTTCAGCATCACCCAGTCCACCCGTTCCCAGCAGTGCCAAGGCCACCCCTAACCCATGGCACTGAGGCCTCGTCTCCATGGGTGCCTGCAGCCCTGCCCTGGGCAGCCTGTTCCAATGCTGAGCACCCTCTGGGGCAGGAATTGTTCCTCAGCTCCATCTAACCCTGCCCTGGTGCAGCTTGAGGCCGGTTCCTCTTGTCCCATCCCTTGCTCCTTGGGAGCAGAGCCCAGCCCCTCCTGGCTCCATCCTCCTCTCAGGCACTTGGAGGCAGCCATCAGGTCCCCCCTGAGCCTTCTCTTCTCCATCTGAACCCCCAGGTCCCTCAGGTCCCCATCACCCCTGTGCTCCAGGCCCTGCTCCAGCCCCATTGCCCCTCAGTGTCTCTCTTGCAGTGATGGGCACTGCCCGTTGTCAATGCAGAGGGACTGCGATTCCCATTGGGAATCCTTGCTGAGGGGCTCAGGTCTCACGGTCAAACCAGGCTATGGATGGGCAAATGGGAGCTGGATGGATCCAGGGTTACCCCTTGCAAGCAGGATGCTGAAGGCTCCCTCCACATCCCCGCATCCCATGGGGGTGCCTCCTCCCTTGTCCCGTGCAGTTCTTTGACCGCTTGAAGCTGTTCTGGATGCCGGCCAAGCACCAGCCGGATTTCATCTACCTGCGCCACGTGCCCTTGCGGAAGGTTCACTTCTTCACCCTCATCCAGCTCCTCTGCCTCGTCCTGCTCTGGGCCATCAAAGCATCCCGAGCTGCCATCATCTTCCCCATGATGGTGAGAGCCGGGGCCGCCCGCGGCGGGGGGCGCAGCGTCACCGGCGGCCTCACCGCGTGTCCCCACCGCGCAGGTCCTGGCGCTGGTCTTCGTGCGGAAGGTGATGGATCTGTGCTTCTCCAAGCGCGAGCTCAGCTTCCTCGATGACCTCGTGCCCGAGAGCAGGAAGAAGAGGTTGGACGATGCCAAAAACGAAGCCAAAGAAGAGGAGGTAACGGCGGCTGCGAGCCGGGCAGCACCGTCCCAGCTTGGCTTTCACTGCGGGGTTAATGCATCCCTAGAGCATCATGGAAGGGGTTGGAAAGGAGCTGGAGCTCATCCAGTTCCAACCCCTGCCATGGGCAGGGACACCTCGCACTAAACCAGGGTACCCAAGGCTCATCCAGCCTGGCCTTGAACACTGCCAGGGATGGAGCATCCACAACCTCCCTGGGCACCCATTCCAGTGCCTCACTGCCCTCACAGGAAAGGATCCCCTCCTTAGATCCAATCTAAACTCCCCCTGTTCCAGTTTGAACCCCATATATATATATATATATATATAGCCTGGATCCCCCATTGTAGCCAGTTCTGTAGCACTTCAACAGGGCAATATCCCTCACAATGGGGTCCGAACCCTATATATATATAGCCTGGATCCCCCATTGTAGCCTGTTCTGTAGCACTTCAACAGGGCGATATCCCTCACAATGGGGTCCGAACCCTATATATATATATATATAACCTGGATCCCCCATTGTAGCCTGTTCTGTAGCACTTCAACAGGGCGACATCCCTCACAATGGGGTCCGAACTATATATATATATATAACCTGGATCCCCCATTGTAGCCTGCTCTGTAGCACTTCAACAGGGCGATATCCCTCACAATGGGGTCCGAACCCTATATATATATATATAACCTGGATCCCCCATTGTAGCCTGTTCTGTAGCACTTCAACAGGGCGATATCCCTCACAATGGGGTCGAACCCTATATATATATATATATATAACCTGGATCCCCCATTGTAGCCTGTTCTGTAGCACTTCAACAGGGCGATATCCCTCACAATGGGGTCCGAACCCTATATATATATATATATATATATAACCTGGATCCCCCATTGTAGCCTGTTCTGTAGCACTTCAACAGGGCGATATCCCTCACAATGGGGTCCGAACCCTATATATATATATATATATATATAACCTGGATCCCCCATTGTAGCCTGTTCTGTAGCACTTCAACAGGGCGATATCCCTCACAATGGGGTCCGAACCCTATATATATATATATAACCTGGATTCCCCATTGTAGCCTGTTCTGTAGCACTTCAACAGGGCGACATCCCTCTCAATGGGGTCCTGCTGACCCCACACCGGTTATCACCATAGGCAGCCTTGCTCATGACGGTGTTTTTGTCACCCCCACAGCCCCATTTCCCCAGTATGGGAGACCCTTCCCCTGCTGCCCTCGCTGCTCCCAATGGGATCACTGGGGTCGGGTGCAGCAGAGACCTGGATTTGCCCCTTGCATCATAGGAATCCCGTAAGATGATGGAAGCCGCTGCTGCGGGCTCGGTCCAGCTGCGCCTGCTGGCCAAGGGCAGCCAAGCGGGGGTCCCAAAGGGAAGCACTGAGAGGTAAAGCCCCAAGGGATGGGGGACTCGTTCCCAGTGTTAACTGGAAGGGGTTTGGGGCCGGGCTCCCTGCTTGCATCTTCCTTGAGCATCCCTCAATGGGGGGGGGTATGGGTATGGGTATGGGTATGGGCATGGGTATGGGTATGGGCATGGGTATGGGTATGGGCATGGGTATGGGTATGGGTATGGGCATGGCTATGGGTATGGGCATGGGTATGGGTATGGGTATGGGTATGGGCATGGGTATGGGTATGGGCATGGGTATGGGTATGGGTATGGGCATGGGTATGGGTATGGGCATGGGTATGGGTATGGGTATGGGTATGGGCATGGGTATGGGTATGGGTATGGGCATGGGTATGGGTATGGGTATGGGTATGGGTATGGGTATGGGTATGGGTATGGTCATGGGTATGGGCATGGCTATGGGTATGGGTATGGGTATGGGTATGGGCATGGGTATGGGCATGGGTATGGGTATGGGCATG